CTGAGGTGAAGCGCTAGAATCTGGGATATAACAGATAAGGAGGAAGCAGCCATGAGAGATCCAAGGGGATCTCACTCCAGGCAGGAGAGAGCCCACTATCAATGTCCCAAGGCAGGAACACACTTAGTAGTTGAACCAAAAGAAGGCCGTGTGGCTGGATGACGGGGTCTGAGGGACACTAAACGTACGATGAAGTCACCAAGTATGAAGGGATCAGAAGATGAGGGTTTTGTGGATGTTCACTTATACGCCTCATTGTTGACATGCCAGGACCTACCCTGTTACCATCCATCCCTATTTCTTCCCTAACTACCATTTTGTTTGGGGTTGCTTCGTATCGAATGAAAAGCCCTTAATTCCCCAGAGTCCTTTGCATCTAGGGATGGTCACATTACATGGTTCTGTTAATAGTGTGTATCTAGAATTCTGATGGAAAGAGCTTCCCTTCCAGAATAAAAACGGAAGCTTATCAAAGATGGCTTTTCATTCTTCCCCATTCTTCCTGCTTGACACATTAATGCAATGTCCATAGGTGTAGCAGCCATCTTGAAACCATTTGAATGAAAACCACAAGTAAGAATTGAGATAAGAGAAAGGCAGGAGTCTGAGAGACTGACGATGATGTCATGGACCTACCACACTGCCCAGTTCTGCAGACCTCTGCACATCTTGTTGGATGCAATGAACAAAACTTTGTGTCTTTTAGGTGCTGGCATCCGGGCATTCTCTTACTTATAACCAAACACAATCCTCAATCATAGGACACAGAATAGGAAAAAAACAATAGTTTAGGGAATTAGGGAAAATATTGAAATAAATCCGGCAATAATGGTAACCCCAAAAGAAGGAAAACTAATCCTGCATAATGGCTATATGTCATCGTGAAATTTAGTCTCAAATATTATAGAAGCCAAAACGAAGAAGAAATTTCTCAACACAACAACTACTACTAGTACTATTGTTAATACTAGTAATACTACAGAGCAAAGGTACACACTAAGGCAAAGCTCACATTTCTTATGTGTTTACCATGAGTCAGATTCTAAGCACTTGATATGTATTTAATCATTTAAGCCTCAGATATTTCACAGATGAAGATATTGAGGTATAGAGAGCTTAAGTGGGCTTGCCGTGGGTCAAAGAGCCAGGATTGCAATCCAGGTTGTCTGACCACAAGGCCTTTAGTAGTAACCAAAGTTTAGCAAATTCTCATAATGTCTGATGTATTTTCTTCTTTTATCTTTGGCAAAGAGTCTGCTCAAATCTTTTGTCTAAAAAAATTGGGTGGGATGAGCGTAAGGAAGACTGGAGCAAGAACCAGTGGCTAGCTCTCCCAGGCCATAATATTCCAGCATGGAAGAGCTCTAAGTGTGAATTTAGAATTATAAATTTGAATTTGGCCTTCCCAATTGTCATGAAGGATTATTGGTAAATGTAGAAAATAGCATATATTGTAGTCATTAATTCGCTAGCTTGATTTATACTTTAAACTATTTAGATATACTGTGTATGGGCCTCCATTTGTACTCCTCTGAGAAATAAAAATGTTAGGGGGTAGATCTCTCTATACAGAATGAAAATACATGAAAACAATTGTACATACATTGAAATGGGGAGAAGTGGAATCAGAGGGTCCTAAGGTAACAGTATGATTGAAACGTGGTGAAACAACGAACACACATTGGTTTTTAAGAAGTTGAGGATGTTTGCTGTAATATCTAGGGTATCCACTACAAGTATAGGAAGATCATGTATAATTAACAAGCAAATAGAGGAGGGGTGAGGAATAATAAAAGTATTCAATCAACCCAAAAGTAGACAAGAAAATCAAGAAAGAGTAATATAGTCCAGGTAGGAAAAACAGAGAGCAAAGAGTAAGATGTTAGATATTGATTAACTAAATGATTAAATTACATGGGAATGGAATAAGTACTTCAATGAAAATCAAATATTGTCAGTCTGGATAAAAAAATTCCAATGGTATGCTGCTTATAAGAGACATAGGTATGAGAATACAAAAAGGTTAACTAGAAAAGGATGGGAAAAGATATATCATCTAGACATTAATAGAAAGTTGGTATATCAGGGTACTTGGGTGGCTCAGTCAGTTAAGCATCCGCCTTTAGTTCAGGTCATGATCCCAGAGTCCTGGGATCTGGCCTCTCGTCAGGCTCTGTGCTCAGCAGGGAGTCTGCTTCTCCCTCTCCCTCTGCTCCTCTCCCCACTTGTGCTCCCTCTCTCTCAAATAAATAAATAAAATCTTTAAAAAAAAAGAGAGAAGAAGCATCATTAGAGGGAAAGAGGATGCTTCCTCTTAATCTGAAAAGTTTTGTTCATCCAGAAGATACAATATTTCTAAATTGCATGCCTTGAATAACAGCCTTATAGATGAAGCAAAAAATTAATAGAACTGAAAATAAAAGCAAAGCCCCCTTGAATCACAGTGGCAGATGTTAATACACACTTTCTCTCAGTAACTGACAAACAAAAATCAGTAGATCTACTGAACATTTGAATGACATGACTAACAAATTTGACATAATTGCTATAAATAAAAATCTATGTCCAATTATAGAGGGATATAAATTCTTTTCAAGTACACACAAAACATTTACCAAAACTAACTATATGCTGGCCCTTAAAGCACATTTCATAGCACAGAAGTCACACAAAGTATGTTCTCTGACCACAGTGGAATTAAGCTAGAAATCAATAACAAAAGAATAACAGAACATATCCATATATTTAGCAACTAAGAAATATACTTCTAGTTATTTAAACACAATACACTTTTAAATAATCTTAAAGAATTCAAAGATGATATCACATTGGAAATTGGAAACTATTTTTTCTAAAATTTTTTTTTTAAGATTTTATTTATTTATTTGACAGAGAGAGAGAGCACAAGTAGGCAGAGAGGTAGGCAGAGGGAGAGGGAGAAGCCGGTTCTCGCTGAGCAGGGAGCCCGACATGGGGCTCCATCCCAGGACCCTAGGATCATGACCTGAGCCAAAAGCAGCCGCTTAACCGACTGAGCCACCCAGGCGCCCCTCTTTTTCTAAATTCTTAAGATGAACGTTAAATAATTGATTTTTGCTTTTCTTCTTTTCTAACATATGCATTTAGGTCTATAATTTTCCCTGTAAGCACATCTTTGAGTTGCATCCCACAATTTTTTTGGATACCCAAATGGGGAAATAATGAATCTTGCTCTCTTTCCTTATCATGTACGAAAATCAATCCAGGTGGATTGTAGATCTAAATATGAAACATAAAACAATAAAGCTTTGACAACATAAGTAGAGAGCTTCACAATCTTGGGAGAAGTAAAGAATTCTTAAACAGAATCCTCAAAGCTTTAGCCACAGAGGAAGAGACTGATAAACTAGACTCCATTAGAATTAGGAATTTGTTTGTCAAAAGACAATACTAAGAAAATTAAAAGGCAATGTAGGGAATTGGAGAAGGTATCTGAAATACATGTACAAAAGAACTCATATCAGAATGAAGATTTCTGACAAAGCAGTTAGAAAAAAGGGCAACACAATAACAAAAAGCTGACCAGTAAGCACATGAAAAGGGGCTCACCTCGCAAGTAAGCAGGAATATTCTAATAAAAATACAATGAGATATCACTACACCTACCAGAATGACTAAAACTTAAAGGGACAACAATACAGTCTTAGAAAGCAGTGAGACTTCATATACTCTGCTGGTAGAACTGTAAATTGGTACCACCAACTCTGGAAAAATGTTTTGCATTATCTGCTAAAGTTGAATATCTTCAGACTCTGAAATCTAGCAATTCCACCCAAGAGAATTGACACGTGCACACACGTGTATCAAAATAACTTCATAGCAAGAGTGCTGTGCGGGTTAATTCCAGCAGGCCTAGAATTAGCCTGAGCTCTTTTGCTAAATGTCCCGCATCACAACCTACTGTGGCATGAAAACTACTGATTTATATTGTGGCTTTGTAACCATAGGTCTAAGAAGTTTGGGGGTGGTTTGTACCACCTTATCAACATGGTTTATTGATAAGAGTGATATTGACGATTCTCACCTGGTTCCATGAGACTAGCAGTTGCTGGTTATGGAGCAGGAATACGCCTACTTGACCAATAAAATGTAAAAAGTAGTTGAGACTCCAGTTCATGCTCCCTGATTCTAAAGCGTTCCATGCACGCATTGATTCCTGAATGGAGAAAAGGAGTGTGTCCAGTATGGTCCTTACAGAGGGAGGACAATTCGAGCCTCCGTCTGGTCCCTCTGTACCCCTTGCTGTCATCTGTGACGCATATCCTTACTTTACTACTTTGCCATAATAAGTCCTTTTCCTGCAATAAACTGGAGACTTGTAAGCATTCAGACTTCGGGTCCTGTGAGTCTTCTCTAGCAACCAAATCTTGCTTAATGGCCAGTGGTATTGCAAAGCCTTTTTTGTAATAACCCAAAACTGCAAATGACCCAAATATTCATCAATAGCAGACTGGATAAATAAATCAGGCTATATTCATACAATTGAATACTGAACAGCAATGAAAATGACTGCTAACTACATACAGATCATAGATGCATCTTACAAACATTATGCTCAAAGAAGCCAGATACCAGAGAATCTGTTGAATACATGTTCAAATGTGTGTTTACATTTGTATAAAACAGTGCAAAAATAGACAAAAGTGAATCTAAGGTACACACTGGTCACCTCTGGAGGGCGGGGGTGATGGAGTCATGATTAGGAGAGGGGCTTGTAGGCCATGTTATATTTCATGACCTGGGCTGTTTCCATGGATATGTTCAGTGTGCTATAATTCATCAAACTTGTGATTTTCTGTGTGATATTATAATTTTTTAAAAAGCTTATTAAAGGGGCACCTGGATGGCTCAGTCGGTTAAGCGTCTGCCTTCAGCTCGGGTCATGATCCCAGGGGCCTGGGATTGAGCCCCACATTGGGCTCCCTGCTCAGCAGGGAGTCTGTTTCTTCCTCTCCCTCTGCAATTCCTCCCTCTTGTGCTCTCTGGCTCTCTCTATCTCTCTGTCAAATAAATAAGTAAATAAATCTGAAAAAATAAAATAAAATCTTTAAAATACTGCAGCAGACACCACAGACCCAATAACAGATTGGAACAGATGAACTAAGCATTGGGAAAATCTCTCTCTCTTTTTTTTTAAGATTTTATTTATTTGAGAGAGAGAGAGAAAGTGTGTGAGACAGAGCGAGCATGAGCAGGGGGTAGGGGCGGAGGGAGAGGGAGAAACAGGCTCCCTGCTGAGCAGGGAGCCCGATGTGGGAGATGTGGGACTCCATCCCAGGACCCTGGGATCATGACCTGGGTTGAAGACAGATGCTTAACCAACTGAGCCACCCAGGCGCCCCGCATTGGGAAAATCTTAATAAATGTTGAATCTAGGTGATGAGTATGTGTATGTTTTTTTTTTTTTTAAAGATTTTATTTATTTATTTGACAGAGAGAGACACAGCGAGAGAAGGAACACAAGCAGGGGGAGTGGGAGAGGGAGAAGCAGGCTTCCCGCAGAGCAGGGAGCCCAATGCGGGGCTCGATCCCAGGAACCTGAGATCATGACCTGAGCCAAAGGCAGACGCTTAACGACTGAGCCACCCAGGTGCCCCGAGTATGTGTATGTTTATTACACAATTTTATTTATTTTTATGACTTTAAATATTTTCACAGTAAAAATGGGAAGAAAGATGGCAGGACTAGGTGGTTTATAAAACTGAGCGCTAGCTAGATTTTAAAGAATAAATATTTCCAATATTTAAATAGCGATGGCTTCACACATAAGATGAGCCCCCCCAATTCATTGTATGAAGGTCAGACAACTTTTAAAACTTTTTTTAAAAAACTAAAACATGCATGAAGAAAAGTTTATAGTTGTGAGTACATAGCTGGGGGAATTTTTGCATGCTCAACACACTTGGGCACACGGATGAAAAAACAGAATATTACGAGCACCCTAGAAAACCCCTTCATGCCCATTTCTAGACAGTATCTCCTGCTGAAGATATTCAGTATGCTGAAGGCAAAATCCGATTTTAAAAAATAGTGCCAAAATAGGAAACTGCAGAATAAAAACTTAAATTGAGGCAAATTTTCTCTTTAAAAATGTTTTTATCTTATTTTATTTTAAGCTTTTATTTATTTATTTGGGAGAGAGAGAGAGAGAGATAAAGATAGCAACAGAGAGCATAAACAGGAGGAGAGGGAGAAGCAGACCCCCTGAACAGGGAGCCCGATACGGGTCTTGATCCCAGGACTCTGGGATCGTGACCAGAGCCGAGGGCAGTTGCTCAACAGACTAAGCCACCCAGGCGCCCCTCTTTTAAAAATATTTTTAAAAGATTTTATTTTTAAATATCTCTACATCCACCGTGGGGCTCGAACTTACAACCCCCAAATCAAGGGTTGCTTGCTCCTCCGAATAAGCCAGTCAGGCGCCCCAAATGGAAGCATATTTTCTAAATAAAACATCAGGAACTCGATTCCAGAATTATATTTTAGTATCTACACAACCACACACATATATTATTGATCATTTATTTGTTCACCATTATTTCTTGCACTCCTCCCAGTTCTTACTAGAATACATACTTTGCTAGTGGTTTTTTCAGTAAGAGATTGTGGGTGGTAAACAGTTTCGGCTTTTACATTTTTCTAAAATGTATTTATTTTAACCCTGCTCTTTGAAGGACATCTGGCTGGCTGGTGAGTTTCAGGCTGCCAGGTGTTTTCCTTCAGCATTTTGAGTATGTGACACCATCGCCCTCTGAAGTGTGCTGTTAATGGAAGCTCCGCTGTTGATCGGTCACTTGTGTGTGTGCAATTCATCATTCTCTCTGTATTTTCCTTTCTTGCTTACTGTGGTGCAGTTATGCTACGGTGTTTCTGGGTAGAGAGTTATTTCTATTTTCTTGCCAGTCATTCAGTGAGGTTTTCCATTCAAGTTTTCATTCATATCATTTCTCGAAAATTATCAGTCATTTCATTTTCAAACACTGCCGTTCACCCTTTTTTCTTCTGCATCTTCCAGTGGCTAGACTTCTAAACTTCTCATTCTACCCTCCACAATCCTTCTTTCAGAATTTGCTCCTTTGGTCTTATTGCGCCATGATCTAGAAACTTCTCTCTCAGTGCTCTTTCAAGTCATTAATCCTCTCTCTTAAGATACATCCAGTATACCATTGCAATAATTTATTGAGGGTTATTATGATTATTGGTTTACTTTCAATAATTATATGTTTCACTTTCAAGATTTCCAATTTGTTTTTTTTCCCCAAATCTTCCTGTTCTTGTTTTGTAAATACTACTTCCTTCCTCATGTCTTTAAGCAGTTAACGTATTATTTTTAAGTTCTCAGATTGATCTCTACATCCTCAGATTCTTTGATTTGTTGAAATTCTTTGATTTGTTGAATTTACCAACTTTTTAAAAATGATAATACACTTCTTCATGTGCGTAGAACATTTTAAAGAGCTAGTCTTGCTTGGTAGTTGTTCTTCATAGGTGCCCTTACTTTTCACATGATCTAGATTTACCTCAGCCCTGGTCCAGATGGGCTTCACTGGTCCAAACCTGGTCTTATATAAGCAGATCAATCTGAATCTTGTTCTCTATATTAATGGTTCAATTTTGGACTTTACATGAATATCGTATAGACTCTGTTCCTATGTTCCATCTGCTTCTTTACTTTTCACATATAAGTTCAATGTTCTCAAAAACAAAATCCACATCCAAAACATTTAATACACTACATATTTTATTTAAGAAGAAGCTGCATTTTTTTTTAGATAATCAATTTGAGGGTAAATGACTAAAGACCTACGAACTACAGGGGGGTAAATGACACCAGGCATCTGCTGGTTCGCCACAAATCTCTTCTCACTGACGTAATTTATGTCTATGAATGAATCTAAAGTACTGTGCTTCCACGACGCAAGCCCCTTGTAGTATCTCCATTCCAGATCCCTTAGATCCATGAATTGTTTTTCTGCAAAGAATCGTATTTTCAAAGAATTACATGAAGCTGTTATTTAACCTTCAGCTATTCAGAGATGCTTCATGGACAGAATAAACCTTTGATGAACTTGAGTTTCCTTCTCCCTTCTGGTAGAAATCTGTTTCTAGAGCTTTATAAATGAAGTGGGCACCTATGGTGTTCATCTGATCTAAAGTCCTCCTCCAAATGGGAAACTGGGTGGGCCTGGTTAACTGGGCTGGAGTGGACACTGCAGGGCCATAGCAGGTGGAGGGGCTCCCAATTCAGTGCCTGGATACTAATAATGGACAAATGGAGAGATCTACAGAGCACCAAGATCAAGACGGAGGAGAAAAGGATCGTAATGAGGGCTTAAAACAAGGACAAAGATTAGTCAGAAGTATATAGATTGCTAGTGTCATTTCTTCCAAGATGCTGGTGTAAGCCCTGGGCATAAAAGGCAGTGGCTAGCTACTCTTTCAGGACCTACCAACTTCAGGTGTCACTAGTAATTACAATCCTTTCAAGAAGCCAATGAACCATGGAAAGTCAGGCCAAGATACACTGCATATTCTCCTACTCAGCATTTTCCTTTCCCTTCCTTTCAGTTTCCTTAATGACTACCTAAAATGTAAACCACCACCACCCCCCAAAAAAGAACAAAACAAAGAGCAAGGCCTGAGGCAGAGACTTGAGTATAAAACCAGAGGCCAGAGTCAGGGAGATGAGTGTGAGGAGTACAAGGAGAACAATGGGTACAGCAAACAAGCAGGAAGGCTGGTTTAATTCTCTCTTATCATTCTCCCTGTATGGTGATATTTGAGCAGATCAGCTATGGTCCAGATATGGCCCCTGTGCCAATCAGGCCTCCATCCCTGTCCTGGAAGAGCCTGAGTTTCGGTATATATTCTGTACATGTCTGAAATAGGAGACTGGAACCAGGGACTGTTCCTTGAGTTCATACCTTCCCTAGTGGAACAGATACTGGAGCAAGCTACTGGTGTTGAACATTGGTAGGCAACAGTGTCTCCTTAAGGGCAATTACCAAGTGTCAGGGAGTTTGACAAGATCTTGGCAGGCTTGGCATTGGAAGATCTGGTTACAGAAGGAAGGAAAGGGATATTTGACAAGAGAAGGCCACAGAGTTGATGATTTTGATTACTACAGAGCTTTAGATTGTGATCTATGGTAGATACTATAGGTTGGCTCACTGCACATCCATTGCAATCCTCTTTTGCCTTCCTCTACTACAGAGGGTAAAAAGCTAAGATTTCAATGCAGTAAAGGGTGGCTATTGGACACAATTCTGACCAATGAGATGTAGGGAGAAGTCACTGGAGGAGGAGTGTTCTGAGAAAGTTTTGCTTCCCTATTAAAAGAGGACAGAAGTAGCCAATGTGGCCCTTCGTCTTAGCCCCTTTTCCTGCCTGGAATGTGGCCATAGTACCTGGAGGTGAAGGAGACATCCTTTGGCCATGAAGACAAAAGCCATACACAAAAAGTTGGTGGAGCCTGGGTCCTTGACAATATCAAAAAGCATTGCTCCAAAACTTGTCTGCCTACTTCCAGACTTCTAAGTATATAAGAAAAATAATCTTTATTTGGTTTCTCTGTCATTTTTCATCAAACACATTCCTAACCTACATGGTCCTACAGAATTTAGCCTGAGCAAGAGGAGCTGGTATGATAGAAGAACAAAATGGCAACACCCATTCTCTTTTCTTTCCCCAGTGTTTGGTGCTAATAAGCATATGTTCTATAATATTCTTTGATACACTAAGAGTCCTAAAGTTCTCCTGGGCTGAGAATACTTTAGGGACTGGCTGGCTGATAAAATGATAGTAATACTGGGCAATATAAGAGAATAAAAGATGAATTGCTGCAATACCAATTAAACCTAAGAAATTACTGGATATTCTTCATATGGATGCCTACCTGGCTTCACGCATATTCCTTGAATAGACAGGATATGTACTTGAAATTCTACCTATAGGATCTGAGGAAATGAAGTCATGAAGACAGAGAAGAAACTCCGACAGAGTCTGGAAGGCCACAAGAGAGACCTCTAGAAGTTAGGTAGCCAGGAGGCAAGCCATGCGTTGGGAAGAAAGGACAATTTGGCTCCTGTGGATGGCAAAACCATAAACATCCTATCAAACATCCAAAGCCCTCAGTACTTTTTCAATAGGCTCTTTGGCAGTACTAATTGATTCCTAATACTTTCCATGCGTTTTCCTCTCTGGTCCCAGACTTTACCTTATGCACTTCTGTGGATTATCTAGGTCATTCTTATAATTGCCATGGTTTCTACATCTGCCTGGGTCCCAGAACACACAAAGTATAACTCTATCAAAGGGATTTAAAACCTGCATTAGATTCTGTCAAGACATTAGTGCGGGGAATTATAGCAAAGACTGTTCCAGCATCTTGGACCAAATGTGAGCACAGTAATCAATCTATGCCTTTAAATTTGTTCCTCTACCTCTCCCACTACTTTTAGTATAAAAATGGTGCTGTTAAAATATTTGCTGTGCAAATGGTTTTATCTTGAGTCAAGAACCTACTTCAGGAAGTTTCAAATATTTTGTCATTGACTTAATCTATTTTTTTACAGCTACATAGAATGACAAATTATTACCTCCCTCAAATGAAGGAAAATGAAGACCTTAGAAGGCACCCCCTTCTCATTGAAACTCACCATCATATATTTTATATATTTTTAACTTTCTCTGAATAGTCTCTGTTTTTTAAGGAACATCTTCCTATTAAAGTGTGAGAAATGAAGGGAGGAGTTTCCTCTTGTTGTTTGTAGAGATGTATCAGTAAAGAAAGAGTAAAGGTTCCTGAAAAAATATCTAAAAATACCCCTCTCAATTGCACTAAAGCAAAGATACTTAAGAAAAATAAGCCATTATTCAGTAAATATTTAGCTAAGTTCATAATAGTTATGGGTGACTTAGGGTCCAAGTTTAACTAGCTAATTTTATAAAGGTGACTTTAAGTACCACATCCATAATACACCTTTGCGAGACTGGACCTGAGACTGGACCCTGGAATGTTCGGGTCTCTGTTCTCTACCTCACATTGGCACTGTAGGCAGCAAGCACCTCAGCCATGAGTCCCAGGACTGCAAGATTCCCATGGGTCACCATTTGACTATTTTGGCTCTCATAACCTAAATAAACCTTGCAGTAAGATTTCCACGAATTTCCCCCCACAGAGCCTCAACTGTTTAGATTACCTGGATCAACTAAGAAGTACTTAGCAATTTTGTCTTCAAAGATAAAATTTTCTGGCCTGATCCTGGAAATGCCGAGCATGTGTAATATGTTGGCACTCTGAGTCTTCTCATCTATGGGGACGGGGACTGGTGACAAAGATTTGGAGTGATTGGTGAGAATCTCATAGGGAAAAGTGTGTGCAGGAGGAGGAATCCCACATTGAAAGAGCCTCTGCTGGGATCTGGTGAGTCTCTCCACCGGAGAGAGTGAGCTGGTCAACAAGCTTCGGTACAGCAGTTCGGTCATAGAGTCTGGTTTCTCCTCTTCTTTTCTCACCACCTTGCACACAAAAACAGGCTGGAGGTGTTCTCCCTTCACATCGTCAGTTCCACTGGTGAGTGACATGGCATTCACATTTTGACTAAGCATTTTCTGAGCTTCACTAGGTGAAATACTGTGTGTTTTTAGGAGATTTGATTTCTTGCTGTCCTTATTAAAATCCTCAGCAAAAGCATACAATTCTGGCAGCTGTGGAGGGGAAGAGGTGGGAAGTCATGAGATTGGCTGACAATGTAACTGGTAGACCCCAAAACCCTAGAACAAAAAGGATACCAAGTAACCATGAAAACAGAAGCATCTGTCTTTGGAAGATATTTTTGCCTAACTAACCCGGTTAAGGGTGGCAGTGTAAATCTCACAGTCATTCCCAGAAAGGGGTATTATTTAGATGCACCACTTAAACCATGAAATGGGCCCGTCAGACTTGGACCCTAAAGTCTGTAAGATCTTTCTAATGTAAAGTATGATGAGCTGCCATGGAGAGAGAGAGAGCTGTGGAGGGTTGCAACCTTTGTTTTGAGTAAGGCTACGTTTTTTTTTAAGTCAAGAAAGAGAGCCAGATAATGCAGATATCAAAGCTTCATCCTGGTGTGCAAAGGGTTCAGAATGTTCGGGAATGCAGTGCAAAGGAAGCTCTAATAGTCCTCATTCACTGGAATATTTTACCAAAGCAAGTAGATACATTTGCGGAGTGTTTGGCAATAGTTGCTGGCAGAGAAGACAACAAAGATTTTCTCAGAGTACCTTCCTTATCTAAAATCCTATACTGAAGGAATAAAATCTCACTTTCTAGAGCATCTTGCTTACTAACTCCATTATTCCTAAGGAACTAGTTGGAAGGCCAGAAAGGCCAAAGTGAGAGCCCAAATTTAGGTCATTGGCCCCAGTGCAGTTTCCCGTCAATCCTAGGCTGTTCTGTGCAAGAGCAACAAATACAAAGTGGGCTGAGGTGGGTGAATGGCTTTTTAACAACTACCATTATCGTGAAAACAATTTAGCTCTCGCACTTTCCTGCCCGAGGAAGTGCTTCATTTCACTGTGACAAAAGAGCATAAGTCTTCCTGGGGCCCCCCAAGTATGCCACCAGGTATTCGGTAGCTCAAATTTTCACCATTTTTGAAATGTCAAGTTTCCCCTGTGGAGTATTACAGAATTGTAAGCACGTACCGAACATCTGAGAGACTCTGCCGCCTCCCCGTCTTCATCTGGATTGGTGTCACTACTGAGAAACATTATGAGGGGATTTTATTCTCTAATTCCTGAGAAAGCAATAGAAGAGAAGATGGAGTGAAAGGTCAACAATCCAGCAAAGTACAAGGCAGGAGGGTTGGGGATGGGTAATACTTTTTATGTCCCCAGAACTTTGTAAGTGGGACACTTTTAAAATTTTATACCATTTTAAATTTTCTTTTGTTTTCTTCTTACCCTAGGTCTATCAAATTACTCACATGCCAACCAAATATTTTCTCTGAAACACCTCAAATTCATATATGACATATATGCTCAGGCATTTAATACTAATTCAAAGAATCCTATATGGGTTGTTTAGTATTTTTGTCTTACATATTTTTTTTGTCTTACATATTTTGATCCACTTCCAGTTTATCTAAAGAAAAACTCCCTTATTCCTTACCCAGGAAAAGTGCTTTTTATTCAGGAGGAAAAAGCTAATAAAACAATAGCAGCAATTAACCTTTTGAAATGATTTGCTTTGGGCCAGATGTACCAGTCCGCATTTTACAGATGGAATTGTGTTTAATCCCTTTGTGAGGAGTTAGAGACATCCACAGAATCTTTATCATTGGTCTCATCAGTAAGTGGCAGTTCAGGATGCTCCCACATTTTTAAAAAAGATTTTATTTATTTAGAGAGTGAGAGAGCAAGTGGGGGGAGGGGCAGAGGGACAGGAAGACAGAATCTCAAGCAGAACCCCCCACTGAGCATGGAGCCTGAGGTGGGGCTTGATCCCACCACCCCAAGAGCATGACCTGAGCCAAAACAAGAGTCGGGTGCTCAAGCGAGCCACCCAGGCGCCCCTGTCTGCTCCCACATGTGACCCTGGGTTGGCTTTATGCTTCTCTTTGACCGGCAGCATGAGGTATAAGTGACATTGTGTGGGTGCCAGAGCCTAGGCCGTAAGCTTTGCAGCTTCACTTCACACTCCTGGAATCCCAAGCCACCATGCAAAGAGGTCCAGCTACCCTTCTAGGAACCCCATGGGGAGCTGAGAGCCAGCACCAACCACTAGACATGTATGTGAGGCCATCTTGAATCACCCAGCCCCATTCACGCCTCCAAATGGCCACAGCTGCCTGAGCAACTCCAGATGAGCCCAAATGGAGAACAACAGCCACCCAGCTATGCCAGCCAACAGCAAAATTATGGCAAATAATGAATTATAGATGTTTCAAGACACTAAGGTTTGAGTGGACTGTTAGTTACACAGCAATAAATAGCAGATAAACCTCACAATACTTCACATTCTTGGTTTAATTTATTCCAGTGAATCCTCTGTTGGAGATAAGGGAGTGTATGAGGGAAAATATCTTCCTGGGTACCACTGCATCCAGACTGGTAACTGCAATAATTGGATGAGTATCAGAGATGAGCCAACAATACTCTTGGTGTTTGGGGTGAAGTAAAAATAATTAGGTTCTTCCTCTTTTCCAAGCAAAACAGAAAAGCCCAGAATGAATACATTTATATATGAATATGTTTATATTCATTCTGGGTTTTTCTATTGCTTGAGAAGAAGGAAAAAGTAATATATATTTGAATATATATTCATTCTGGGATATCTATTTATCTAACTATCTATCTACCTATTACTTGGATATACATATATCCAAATATATTACAGTCACTAGTGAGTACACTATATCAATATATATGACCAAAAAAAGCACAATGTAATGCAGCGTGATGACCCCCTTTCCTACATTTGCACAGCGGCTTCATAGATATGTCTATCGCTGACCAGTTAAAATAAGACTTGATTGTGCTTTCCTTTTTTTGACTGTACTTTCCTTTTGTTAGTTCTTGCAAAGGAAAACATTTCTCTAACTCGCTTCATTTAAAACCTCATTGTCTCCTGGGCAGCCATTACCTCTGTCTTCCAGTGGTAACACCCACCATGAGAGGGTTGCCTTTTCCCATGACCAATGGACAATACATTTTTTTCCTTTTTCCTCCCCCTAAAGAGAGTTTGACTTAACCCCCAACTACACACACATGCTGAACTTTAATCAGAATTACTGATGCAGATAAATGATTTCCAACTTCAGTGGCCAATCTGACAAATCTGTACTCATTTCATTACAATAAGATTGACAACAGGGAGTGGGACACAAGGAAGGTTAGATTCCTGGTGATTCTCTTTGCAGAATTACTATGGAGGACACCTCCCTTTTGTTGAAGAGTCAGGGTCAGGATTCAGAATGCTATAATAGATCACTAGCCAAAGATGCTTTTATCCACTCTAATGCTGACTTCACTAACATGCTTTTCACTTAATGCTCTTGGCTGGAGCCAAGACAATGACTAAACCTAGATTAGCCCCTTAATCCAACTTCTCATGGAGAGTGTTCCTGGAGAGATCATGAAAATATAACCAGTGGGCCTGTTACAGATTCATGCAACTTGAAGGAGCCTCTGCAGGGGCTCTTCAGTACTTCTATTCATCTTTTATTATTCCTAGAAATTCCCACAATAAATTCTAGTTTTCCTGAGAAGAGCCAGGGCATCTCACAGGAACTCCCTCAGGTGGCATCCTCTTCTCCAGTTGTATACACATGCAATTCTTCATCCTGCCCTCTGATCCAGAAGGAAGAGGCTCCCTGCTCATCTAATGGTAGCATTCTCTCTCCTACCCAGGGGGTATATTCTATTCTCCTCTTAACTCTTGTGCAAAATTTCCCTGGCACTGGGAAAACAACTTTCTCCTCTTTGCTTCTCCACCATTCCCTTACCTTCAATCTCATGCTCCCCCATGGCTTCTTCCTTTCTTTACAAACATGTAAAATCTTTTTCATTTGGGAGAAAAATACAACTTCTCTTTTCTTCTATCATACCACTAACTCTCCAATTTTATCTCTCTTTTACTTCTGCACTTGCTATTTTTATATACTCATGATCGAATCTCCAGTATAATGACATTAGCTTCCACTCTTCTTGAACCAAAATTGAATTTTTTTAAAGTAATCTCTACACACAACATGGGGCTCAAACTCACAACCCTGAGATCAAGAGTCACAAGCTCTTCCTACCGAGCCAGCCAGACAACCCCCAAAACTGAATTCTTGAAGGCAGTATTGACTTCTTAATCATCAATTCTAAAGTAGTTTTTCCAGTCCTCATTTTTATCCATCTCAACTCTTTTATTCATTTATTTTTTTTAAGTAGGCTCCATGACCGGCACAGAGCTCCATGTGGGGGCATATCTCATGACCCTCAATCTCATGAGATCAAGAGTCGGATGCTGAACCGACTGAGCCACCCAGAATGAAGCTGGACCCCTACCTCAATCCATAAAATGAAATTAACATAAAATGGATTATAGACCTGAATGTAAGAGGTAAAACTATAAAACTCCTATAAGAACATGGGAGTAAATTTTCATGATCTTGAGTTAGGCAATGGCTTTTTGGATAGAACACCAAATGCACAAGCTAAAGAATAATACAATAGATAAATTGGAACTTCATCAATTAAAATTTCTGTGCTTCCAAAGACACCCTAAAGAAAGTGAAAAGATAAGTCACAGAATGGGAGAAAATGTTTGTAAATCATATATCTGACAAGTGACTTGTGTCCAGAATGTACAAAGAACATTTACAACTCAATAATACAAAGACAAATAACTTGATTTAAAAATGGACAAGAGATTTGAATAGAGATTTCTGCAAAGATATACACATGACTGATAAACACGTGCAGAGATACTCAACATCATGAACCATCAGGAAAATGCAAATTAAAGCCACAATAAGGTATCTTTCACTCCCACTAGGATGGCTATAATAAAGACAGATAATAACAAGTGTCAGCAAGGATTTAGAGAAATTGGAACCATCACACATTGGTGGAAATAAAATATGGTGTGGTCATTTTGAAAAACAGTTTGGCAGTTCCTCAAAATGTTAAACACAGAGCAGCCATATGACCCAGTTGTTTTACTCTTAGGTATATACCCAAGAGAAATAAAAACACAATCCACCCAAAAATTTATATATGAATATTCACAGCAGTATGATTCATAATAGCCAAACAGTGGAAACAACCCAAATGCCCATCACCTAATGAAAGGATAAACAAAATGTGGTACTTCCATACAATAGAATACTATTCATTGATAACAAGGAACGAAGTTCTGATACATGCTACAACAGGATAAACCTTGAAAAATTAGGCTAAGTGAAAGAAGCAATTCACAAAAGGTCACGTATTGTATGATTGCATCTATATGGAATGTATAAAATAGGCAAACCCATAGAGACAAGAAGTAGATTAACAGAAACTAGCCTAAGGCTGGGGGGCATGCAGGAATGGGGAGTGACTGCTAATCAATATGGGGTTTCTTTGGGGGCGTGATAAAAATTCTAAAATTGATTGTGTGATGGTTGCACAACTCTCTGAATATACTTAAAATTATTGAATTGTGACTGGAAGAATTTAATGGTATGTGAATTGTTTGTCAATAAAACTATTAAAAATGATCTGGAAGGAAAATGATAGCTATGAAAGATAGACTAAGGAGATGCAACATATTTAACTGGTTACCCCAAAAGAAAAAACCCCAAATCATAGAATAGAAAAATATTTAGAAATAAAATTCTAGAAAATTTTCCTGGAATTAAGGATTTAAATCTGCATATTAAAATATCAGAATGGCTAGCACTAAAACATATTCTAGTAAAGTAATTGAGTTTCAGGAAAAAAAGAAATGAAGTCTCAGTTTTATCTATAGCAACAGTCAGACAAAAAGACAAAAAAGCAAAACAAAGTTTGAGTCAAGGATTTTTCTATTTATCCAAGCTATGTTTGAAAGAATAAAAGCTCAAGAAAAATTTTTGATCTTGCAAGAACTCAGAAATATTGTTCCCATGAGTCCTTCCTGAGAGAACTACCTGTTGATGGACTTCAGGCAGCCAAGAGATGAATGGACTTCAGAAGTAAAGGATCTTCCAGCAGTAGGGCAAGGTTGCTTGTAAGGGAAAATTACAAATGCATATACTCTCTGAACCTAGGATTCCCACTTCTA